CCAGTGTTTGGGTTCCCTTGGTAAACCCTAAACCCTAATCCCTAAACCCTAAATCCCCATGGCTGAGCATGGGAGGTTGAGGCGGTACCCAGGGTTGCAGCAGCCAAGCTTCAAGGGCTTGAAAGGTTTGAGAAGTTTGTGGATTTACTGAAGTGCTTAGGATTTTAGAGTTTAGGGTTGCGGGCTTAGGATCTAAGAGTTCAGCCTTTAGGGCATGGGATTTCAGAGTTTAGGGCTTGGGGTTTAAGAGCTTAGGGTTTAGGAGTTGAGGGTTAGGGCTTAGGGTTTAGAAATTTAGGGTTTCAGAGTTTAGGGCGTAGGGCTTAGGATCTAAGAGTTTAGGGTTTAGGGCTTAGGGTGTAGCCAGCCAGCTGCAGAATTCCAATTCGTAACCTCAAACCTAAAGGCCGGCAGCTTAAACCAAGTTCCCTGAATACACACCGAAAATGGGGATCCTGCCTGAGGACTCCAAACAGGGACGCGTAGGCATAGCTTTGAGACTTCGACTGAAACCCATCCCTTGCCCCATAATGAAGAATCAAATTTGAAAAAGAAAAACGAAAGGACAACTGGGATGTTCAGCGGTTATATCAGGATTTCCGAGAACACGGGGTCCCTGTGGATCCGTCGTCCCACATGACTCTCCGAGCAGTCCTCATCGTCGACAAACCTTGGCAACTCGCACGAAAGCTTGCCAACCCAGCTGTGTATGATCTCAAACGGAGCAGGATTGCTTGTCCCCTGCCATAGCAATGGTGGGCAAAAGAGAGAACCTAAGCCCTGAACAGCAACAACTAAAAAAGAATGGCTCTCGAAGCAATGTTTCTGCTACCCGTTGAGGCATGAAAAGGACTTCAGGGATGATACCAAGGCTTCAACCGATCCATAGTCTAAACTCCTAGTATCCCCTTTAATAAGCCCTATGGTAGTCCCCTAGAATATCCACTATATAACCCCTTTAAGGAGTTTAGAGTACAGCTCAACTGATCAACCAGATCGCGGCATCTTGCTCCCGGAAGGAATCCATCCCCTGGAGCCACCCCGGTACACTCATGGAGCACGGGAGCAGTTGTTCCCAATACCGCCATAATATGGGGTCCTCGTAGTTTCAGCACATCCCTAAACCCTAAACCCTACAATGCTAAACCCTAAAACCCTACCTTCCCCCTGAGGAGCGAACACTGCTCCAGTGGGTCCAAAGTCTGCGCTCTCTTCCTCCAGGCAACCCTAAGCCCCCAAACCCTAAACTTGCCCTAAACCCTCAAAAACAAGATGGAGAGTAGGTCTACAGCAAGCGGTAGCTACGTAAGAGCTGTACCCCCCACCCTAAACCCTAAACCCTAAACCACTAAACCCTGGCTACGGTAAGAGTTGTAAGGGAGCCTCCCAATAACCCTCCCAAGCTCCCAATGTAGTAGTGGGGTCATGCTGGGTGGGTTCCATTTGAGCTATAGTCTAAACTCCGAGTATCCCCCTTAAGAACCCCTGTATGCTCCCCAATATGATCCACTATATAACCCCCTTCAAGGAGTTTGGACTATAGCTCATTTTGTGATCCTTTAGGCGGTCTGGGTGGTTACAGGGGGAATAAGTAATCTTCCCCAACCTTCAAGCCCTAGGCCCAAAACCTAGACATCAACAACAATCTAGACAACAGCTTCGAAATGCACGAAGGCTACTAATTCTTCATCTTTTCATAGAAGCCCCCAAATTCTTCATGCCTTTTTACATGCCCTATGCCAAGTCCTGAGATGTTTGTGCGGTGACCCCGGATAGGGCTGCAAATTCGAGACGTTTCTAGGGTGTACGAAGCAGGGTCTGGGACTTCGGCTTGAGCTGTCTGGAGTTGTAGGGACCATAGTCCCCCTTAAGTAGATAGAATATTGGGGTTATATTAGGATAATGGAAAAGAAAATGGAAACTACTATTAAAGGCTTAGGGCTAGGGTTTGCGGTTCTTGCACATGGTCGGTCATCCACCAAGCCTCTGTTGATTTCATTGCGAAACCAACATCAAGAAATTGAATCCCAGGCCCAAAGACCTTCCATATGAGCTCTAATGCCCTAGAATACTCCCCTATAATCTCCTATATAACGCCCCTTTAACGAGTTTAGACCCCAAACCCTAAACCGCTAACCTTAAACCCTGTACAATCCCCCATACAAACTCCCTTGTAGGAGCTTTAGACCCTAAACCCTAACCCCCAAACCCCAAACCCTAAACCCTATATAATCCCCTAGGTAAGCCCCTTTATGACTATGGCTCATATAACTTTAATCCGGATATAAGGTAGGTAAGATTTGGGTTTAGAGTGTAGGGTGTGGGGCTTAGGGTTGAAGGTTTGGGATCTGAACTCCAAACCACAGACCTTCAAACCTTCATAGGATTTTCGGTTGCCTCATATCGGAGAGAAGGGAACCATTGTGATAAGCATCCCTATGAAAGGGTTGTATATCAAGTTGCTTTGAAATTTGTTGTCCGGCCCATAGGGCACCACAGGGGCAGACGCACCAGGATTCCTGAGGAATCATACCTATACCGATACCCGTCAAGACCATAGAAACCACTTCCCCCCCTGGATTGTCGGCAGAACTACTGATCCCAAGTGAGGGAAGACGCATGATTTGTGTTGTAGTCGGAGCTACATGAAGGAACCCCAATTCGAGGAAACGATGCATGTGGGGGAAACGCCGCTCAACTGATCCATAAAGGGTTCAGGGTTGAGTACGGGCTTCAGGTTCCATAGAGGCCAGCCCTCTAAACCCTGAGCCCTAAATCCTAAGCCCTAAACCCTAAACCCTAAGCCTTGCTACAACCTTGACATCGACCCCCAAGCTCCTCCGCCTTTGAGCGTACGGAATTTGCCGGCTTCGCCTCCTGCTTCAAGAGGCTGTCAGGCTCGGAAGGGCTTTAGGGTTTAGGGTTTAGGGTTTAGGTTTTAGGGTTTAGGGTTTAGGGTTTAATCAGAGTTCCAGCACTTAGGGGCCCTTTTTCGGGGGGTCCCTTTTACAAGAATAGCCTAACAAAATTTGAGTGTATATAAGGAGGAATGGTTTTTGGAAGCTCCCAATCTAAACTGCTAGTTTAGGGCCAGGGGTTAAGAAGCTTGTATAACGAAATTTGAATTGGGTCTAAACAGCGGAAGTCAACTGCCTTGAAACTACTCCGACGGATTTGTAAAGGCGTTCAGACTTGCAGGGGTCAATTGGTCTTAGGAAACGCCCTCCCAACAATCAACTTTAGCTGTCCTTTGGAGGGTTCGAAATCATTATCCCTGAACCCTAAACAGACATTATCAGAGAGCCCATGGGTTTAGGGTTCACGGACCCCTTGACTATCATTGGCCATGTGACTGATGCACGGCCTTGCCTTTTATTACTTGAGGGATCTTGCGGGTCGGGGTTACCAAATATCTCCATTGTGGCCCCTTTGAAGATCTACCACAGCAACGTAAAAACTTGAACGAATACCTTTGCTTCTCCTTCATGTTCCGTTTCAGTACCTAGCAATACAAGCACAATGACAGCTTCAAAAGCCCACAGGAAACTTATGACCGATCGGAACTAGTTACACATGAAGCTGTCCTACTCATGCCCACTAGTTTGGAACTAGAACCCCCAAGCTTCTTTAAACCGTAACCCCGCCCCCCACCCCGCAACGCTAAACCCTAAACCCCACGGCCTGCATAATTTCTGTCAAGTGCGAGCAGGCACCCCAACATTTTGATAAGAAGCCCACCATCCTGCAAACCGTATTGCGGGTTTAAGGTTTCGGGTTAAGGGCTTAGGGTTTAGAGGAATCGAAGCCCCATATACCTCCAAAACCCTGATTCCTATGAAGTACTGTATAATCCCAATTTCCATTTGCTCTCCCATTTGATTCTCCATTTTTAGGGTTACACCCCTAAACCCTAAACCCCTTAACCCAAAGCTGTCTCCCTGAATCACAAAATTGCACTCATCTCCTGGAGTGTTTCAATCTTCACGACTTGCTCAGCTGGCGTCCTATATGCGTCGTGGAGTGACCAGTGCTTAGGGTCAAGTGCTCACAGTTTGGGAATCAAGGTTTAATGTAGACCCCTAGTTGATAAACCCCCTCCCTTAACGGGAATTATAATGGGGATCCTAATATTAAGGCCCTGCAAAGGAGGAAATTTATTAGTCACGGGTCGACAATTCAGACCGCACAAACACGTAATAACAAGCCCGTAGTAATTACGAAGTCTGCAGGACGGGCGCAACGCTTCTTTTCCAGCCATGTCACACTTCGGTGGCTGGACTCCCCGTCCTGAAGCAGGGTGCACCTATGGTGCAGCCTTTGGTGTCCGAAATGTCTCTGTGTCCGTCTCACATAACGGAGACGAACCCGAAATAGTACTTTCCTATACATTCGGGGAGTGTGAGACATGGAGGAAAATCATACCCACATAACATGAGGTATTAAAGGGTGAGGAGGGTGGGTGAGACAAAATTTGGTGTTTGATGCGGGTGCACCAGCTTTAGCCGAAATGGCGACGGATCAACGTAAGCAAGCAGATCCCCATGCTTTCGACTATAAGCTTGGTGCTGGGAATTGTCATTCACAACGCAAGCGTTATACACGACAATTCAGACCGCACAAACACGTAATAACAAACCCGTAGTAATTACGAAGTCTGCAGGACGGGCGCAACGCTTCTTTTCCAGCCATGTCACACTTCGGTGGCTGGACTCCCCGTCCTGAAGCAGGGTGCACCTATGGTGCAACCTTTGGTGTCCGAAATGTCTCTGTGTCCGTCTCACATAACGGAGACGAACCCGAAATAGTACTTTCCCGTCGCTGGTGTACTGTTTCCCGTCGTAGTCTAAGGACACCAGAGGAACCTCAAAAGCAAGAATGTAACCTTAAAAGCTCTGGGATGTTTTCGAATCCCAAACTCGATGCAAGCTGAATGTCACCGATGACCCTGAGGCATCTCTTGGTGATTGCTTCCTGGGGTATCTGGATGTAGGACCATAACAGTCCGTCTGGCAGATCCTCGAACCTGCTGATGGGGT